TTTTAATTTCTTTTGGCATAATCAAATTCTTCATAGTTATCGAAAGCAATGTTGACGACCCAAATACTATTTGTAAGCATTTCAGCCAGCATTTCTCACTATGCTACAACACTGAAACTGAATCTTCTACAAATGCACTCTCACTGTTGATATCTAGACATCTATCCAAAATTGGTTTTATGTCCACTAACTTCAAGCAATTCAGAGCTGACCTGAAAAAGTCCTATGTCAGTGGACCTGACGGGATTCCTTCATTATTTTTGAAATATTGTATTACAAAATTCCCATTATTTTGTTTAAAGCTGTTCAGCTTATCTATGGAATATAGAGTCTATTCATCTGTATTGAAAACATCTCTTATCTCTCCAAGATTCAAAATAGCATCATGTAGTGGTATTGCTAACAATAGGCCCATTAACTTGACATCTGTGTTTTGAAAAACCGTAGAACAATCCATCCACAAACATCTATTGACTTTTTTAGCCCATTCCAGCACGGGTTTATAACTAAACGCTCATGCATCCCATTGCACCTGGAATTTTTTGATCAAATTACCCAGAGAAGAGATGTTTGTCAGTCGGTTAAAATTCTCCTTTTTGTCAACGGCATAAAAGTGGTTTATTCATTCTCTTCACTTACCAAAGGAAGCAATACCTCCGCGGTAATCCATGAAGAAATAAACAAGTTGTACAAATGAACTGTTTCTGCCACTGAATGCTGACAAAATTGGGTTTTCTCACATTGTCCGCTGCACTAATCTAAATTTAGCCATAGAAAAACGTAAATTGGAACCCCTCAATACTGTTCGTGACTAGAATTTGTGGCAGAGCAACCGTCAGAACTTTTCCGAGCACATTTTATTTCAATTATACAAAGCTAGAAAACTTATTGGATTCATAATGATAAACTTCAATAACATCGAATCGCGATTCTTACTATACAAAAAGTGTATCCTACCCATAGTTGAATATAGTATTTTACAATTCAATAATTGCAGACACAATAACCCGGTAAAATAGGTGTTCAAGGAAGGCTCACTAAAGCTGTTTTGTGGTATTCCGAAAACAAGGATTATCAACAAAGGTCCCAACAACAAACAAATTAATATATTTGTGATAACCCAATGAGTAGAAAAATCAGATTTTATGACGTTTCGTAAGTTAATGAAACCAGAAAATAAATAAACAAAACCAAAAAGATGTCAACAACTCAAGTAAGAATCTCTCTGAATCAAACACATCAAATCAAGCCTTGTCTTTACCTACCGACTTATTAACGGTATTTTATACTCTTCGAAATCCACCCATTCGTACTCTATGATATCATCCCACGACCGAAGTAATTAGGGAAATATTCTAGTGATTCCGAAAACCTACACAAACTAACTAATTTCATTAGCATGGTTGAACGCCGTCACTAGTTACGCATTTCATTTTCATCTCACTGTTTTCCATCTAAAAAATATTATTATTAAGTACCCGAAGTTCGTAATTAAGACAATATCTTGTGTCACGCTTAAATAAACTAACTTTTTCAAAGTCATTTAATCTTTACCATGTATATGTGACACATACATGTTGATATTTCATTATGCTTTGTAATTATTTGAAACCGCCATGGCATCACTCCAAACTAATACTGCACAAAAGCTTATTCTACTGCCGCATGACTAAAAATGTTACCTCGGCCTGGATAAATATTGTTCAAGTTCAACACATGGTGGAATCAAGAGAACTTCTAGCTTTCTCTAATATAATCAAACAAACAGATTTTCAGGGATGTTAAGATTCTTCTAGATAAAACACTATATCGATAGAAGGCAGAAGAAGATGGTTACGGATCAATAGAACCACGTTGCCACACGTGTCCAAGCTATGAAGATCATAAATTCATGGCCCACTGTAAAAAATATCCGACCTACTTAAACTACAATTTACAAACTCTCCCAAAGCTCTTGGAATGCACTGTAAAGAAGAGAAATACCTTAATGTAAACGATGCTGTTTCTAAAATGTCTATCCGGATCTTACTGAAAACAGTTGTACTGATATCGTTGAACTTTCCCTTAGCGCAACATCGATTCTAATAACTCAAAAGCACTACGGTCAAAAGGGCAGAAAAACGTTCGTAATCAACAGATATGTTCGAACCCCTTTGAAAGATTCCCAATATAGTTCGAATCTCACAAATTACCAAGGAACCGGAGTGAACTAGAAATCTCGCAAGTAAGCGTTTGGAACACGTTACATGTACAACGGATAAAGAGAGATCTGATGTAAAGAACCTCTCATATATAGACTCAAAAGAATACCTGGTTGGGCTGTCACCATGTCCACTGTATCTATACCAGATTTCAGAGCCAACGGCCCCTGAGAGATTTTCCTTGCATTACCACCAGTTTCTCAGAGAGAAACGGCAACCATATTACGATTGATCACAGGATTATGACATTTATCGTACTTCACGACACTTTCCTCACCCAAACAGTAGCAAGAGTATTTACTAAACCACAGGTTAATGTAAAAAGTCTACAGTAGACAAGAAACCTATATTTATTGGACTTAAATTCAAAGTTGATGTAAAAGAGCCAATCAACATGAACTAAAAACTGCATCTACAAAACTGCATTTACAAAACTTGTTATGCATCTCAATTGATTGTCTCGTATGAAACAACAGTCTTTAACACAATTAAAGATCAATATGTATCTCCCCACGTTACCACCTACTGCATACACAACTTTACATGTATCAACCAAATCAGTTACATGAGTTAAACAGAAAGAAAGACCTACGTCCGATCTACAGAACACATTTCGAGGCGTAAAACGCCAAGTAGGTACAGGCATCCAGCAGTGCCATCTCAAGAAATCATTGTCACAGGACATCAAGTGGATGCGCTGACGTTTCTCAAGGTGACTAATGGACAATCTCATTTCATTATTATGAAATTTACGGAGGCTATAGCGATCGCATGTCTAAGACCTGATCTCCATATCCAAAAACTAATAGTAGCAATTATATCTTCACCCTGGTAACATTACATCCTTTTTCGCATCATTGGTTATTTCACCTCTTTCTCAAACTTTGATTGCATTATTGTCATTTTTCTTTGACTTATTTCCATTTAAATTGATTGATTTCAAATCACATCTTTCTTCACTACCATTAATCTGTATTCAGTTGCTTCATTCCACATTTATCTAATGCCTGTTAACTATGTGATTTCTAATTGCCAGCTCGATGTCATGGAACCTTCCCTTTCACATTTAATTTATCTGAAATGAAACTTTTTACGACCTTATTAACTCTTTTACAATAGTTGCTATACGAAGATACACATATTCATCTCTGATCACCTTTGCGTCTATAAGTATATCGATATCTATGATAATTTCGGTTTCAAAATATTGTTGGTTGTGAGCAGCAAAATAAGATGAATTAAAATTATTCTGAACCACTTGTTCTTGTTGCTTTCTTCACGATTATTAATTTTCTTTTCTTTTAGATGGTAATGTCGGTCGGATCGGAAAGAAACACTGTTATTCACAGTTGAAGTCAACTCAGATATATGTGGGTTACACTACGTTTCTGTGATAAGTAAAATTTCCCGACGTAAGGGGAAACATAAGATACGAAAGATAAGTAATTTTATTGAAAGAAAGTCAGATGTTCAATGAAAGTATGCAAAACCGAAGAGTGCCATTAAGAAGCAAGCTAGATAATAGGGCGTCAACCAAGTGCAATGTAGTGACCAGTTTAAAACGACCATTTACACACCGATTCCCTGAGTTGTCTTCGACCTAACGACTATACTCATTCAGCTGGTTCAAGTTACTATTATGTTGTGCAAACTATATAAATACTTTTTGAGAAACTAATCAACGAGTAAATATCGAATATCTGCTACATATCGCTCCAGTTCTACTTCCAGTATAGTACGATACAATCCTACTAAAGTAATGAACGTTGAACAGACGGGATTTAACCTAACCAAATAAGGTGCAAACAGTATCTTTTTGCTTAGATTCTTGAGACTGTATCTAGGCCTACAGCATCTCCTGCTGGTCTCCTCATGAGAATCTAGATGTTCACCTTAGTCATTACTTTACTGCTGGAGACTTACTTTAGTGTAATTCTGTCATCATATTTTTTACCATTAAACAGTGTTCTCATTCTTTATGGTTTCTAAGTTTGGGAATTTTAAACTATACCTCTTCGTAGTCAAGAAACCTCTCTTCCAGACTAGATACACATCTCAAGGAGTAAACAGCCTAATATTCCTGCTCAAAAAAGTTCAAAGTTTTGATTGTCTACAGCATAGTAGCTTGGATAACAAATGGCTGATTGATAAATTGCACCATTTCTCACCAACTTGTCGCAGTTTAACAGGTGAGCTAAACGAAGTCAACGTGGTTCTGAAAATTGGCTTCAGAACTGGCTTACCTTACTCTGTCATCCAGTCTACGTCAGCAAATCTCGGGTGACACAATGAACAAGTTCAAAAGTAAGGAAAGAACAGAACCTCTGTATTGAACTAGTAATCAGAATAATGTATAATTAGAACAAGCGGGTGAGAGGCGGTTTCTAGGTCTTCTTTCAGCTCGCTTGAGAGGCGAATAGGCAAAAAGTAAAGATAGGGTGGAAGGACTAACGCAGTGTACTGTTTTCTGTTCTCAAAGAGCAAGTGTAATCTGATTAGAATTCACTTCATTCCAGTAGATGAACTTAAAGATCATAGTTTGGAGTGATTTTAGATAGTATTCTGGCGCTAAGGTGGATGTCTGATAAAATTTTATGAAAATACAAAGAAAGTAGGCTCCTAAAGGAGTACATCATTGGAGACTGAGTTCACTCAGTCCAATATACTTGCTATCTTGTCACCAAGTACTCCATAAAGATCAATAAAAAGTGTTGAAATCATTATTTACAGTTATTTTAAAGGGTTGTTTCAATTTTCTACAATGTAAAATTATTGTAAGTTGAAGATTTACACTTGTCATCAACCTATCCGCCGTTTTGAGGTTCTAGGTCGTTCGCCACGCATTCTCCGTGATATCTTAGGTTAAACTTTGTTTACCATTTGATTATTTGAAATAACTGATCTCGTTCTTATCCTATTACAAAAGTCAACACTTATATTAGTGCTCGTAGTCTTATAAGCTCCATAAATTTCAAAGAAACTACTCATCCTTAAAATGAGTAATGTATAATCGTAGAATTTTTAAAACTTCCATATATGACTACACATACATGTACTCTTTGTAGCGTTGAAAATGTGGTTCTTAGGTTATTTATAAGGAAAGTGGGAAACAGCTGTTACCGGTCCAACTGAATTTTTTTCTTGAAGTTCTCGTATAATTTTCATGATTAAATGAAGCGTATGTAAAACTACAACACTGTTGGTCAATTAAATTCATTTTACACTTTCTCTACGTCTAGGTTGGTTAATCTCGTGTGCATACTAGCCTTATTAATGAAACGACCAATGATTTTTAATTTGACGGCAAAATTTTTTGATTTAATATCAACTAGTTATTTGTTGTATGTTTTCACGGCACACCAGCCTCATCCTTGCAAGGTAGCCCAGGGAGTTGCTGATACACTGAGTATTTTAAGGAAATGTATCCCCTTAAACCTTGACTATAGCATGTATTCATGCCGTTTGTCCCTTTAAAAATTGTCCACATATGCACAGAACTGGTTTTTAAGCAGTACTTGCTCTTAACTTTGTTTAAGCTCCTAGGACCTCTCACAGTAAGGAACAACATATTGCGTCATATGGAAGCATCTCTGATGGTGAAGCAAACGCGTGCTTTTGTCTATTTAAGGGTCATTCTAGGTTACAATAAAGAGTATTACACTCTTATAACTTTAGTGTCTATTAAATGGTCTCTAAAAGACGTGCTAGTATCACTATGTTTACAAAACGTTTTAAAACCGTGCCTGTTTAGAACCATGTATATTAAACTACTAGCTTCTTATTTTTTTTGAACACAAACATTGGTACGAGGCGGAACCTAATACAATAACAATGAGGCCAGTAATAGTTATCATTGATTTGTGTGAAAGCTGGAATACTGACCGGGCGCCTAGGTCGAAGCAGGTGGTCTTCTCAGAGAGCGGCACTCCGAACCTTTGACTTAAAGGTCTAATCCACAAGGCAGTGGAGCAACATTAGGAGATGCAGTCCCATCGTAGCTGGCGACCAACAATGAGTCCATTTGTCGATTGTTCCCTCAGGAGATATTGCTTGTACTCTAACTCTCATAATTCATCAGTAAAACTTTGAAATTCGGCTAAAAAACGTAGAACATTGAGAAATTATTGTTCTCTGTTGTGCAACAATAGTAACATCAACTTAAAATGCAAAACTTGGAAGTAATATGCCTTTGCAATTTATGGATTCATATCATGTAGTCTTTAGTCACTGATGTCGGTTACTATGAAAGTATCAACCATGTATATTCTGGGATCAGTTGGTGACATCTTTTGACCTTACCGATTTTGGCCGTCGCCGACCCACTTGTACGTCAACCAATGTAGTTCACGAGTGAGCTGAATTATATGATAATTAGTTATTCAGTTTTAAGCTCTTGATCCACAATCGTCAGTCCATGAATTTACTTTTATGGTTAGAAGGTATATATTACTCTTGTACAACATCCCATACGTAGCCTTTAAACCAAATTATTACTTTTTGTTTCACCTACGTAGAAGATGGGAAGTGGATAGCCGTATGGCAATTCAAAACTCTTAGAAGTATCCAAGAGATGAGACCTTCGAGCCTTAGTGTATTAGTACCTAATGAAATACCAACATGGATTCAGAAATTTCATTTGGCGTTTGCCAGCTTGCATCACCTAGACGTGAGATCCCCGTTCAATAACTAAAGGTTGAGTATACTGCGCATCATTTTGTTCTGTTCTAATTTATGGCTGTGAGTTGTTGTTTCTGAAGATATATTCGTGTGATATCTTCAAAGCTTTGCTTGTGTATGTTGGGATTTTTCGTTGAGCAGCAATAAGGTTGGACTCTGGTTATTACGTAATGATTGATAAGGTAGTGAATCTCCATCGATCGAGGTAATGTATGTCCGATCAATACCTACCTAGATACGTAATGTTTGGTGGTGTTACAGTAGGATGAAAGAAAGGTAGAGGCAATCAAATCAAGAAATGTCATCATTTCACGAAGTTAATGACCGTCGATAAATGCAAGTTACTTTGTTGGAAATCTCCAATCATTGTAAACAATGTCTGGATATGGCAAGTGAAATGGTTCAGGATCAGTCACTCCGGCACAGATTCATTTACTCTGTCTTCCCGTGGATCTTCAGTTTCAAAATTATCTCAAGCTTCTCACCCTGCGAATTCAGCATTTCGTCTCAAATCATATTTTCTATGCCGAATTTTTTGTACTGTCACTCACTCTATTAATGCTTTTACTGTGGAATTTGTCTTAATAACTTGGTCTCTGTGCCGATATTGTGACGCAACTGAAACCGATGCACATATGTGGTGCATTCTACATTTCTTGTGATTGACTGATTTCCCACTAGTGTGAAACCAGTATTTGTTAACGTACTAGTCGAAACCAGAATTAAATAAAGCACTTAATTATTTTAGAAAGTAATCTACAATACCTGCTGTTTTTTTCCACCACCAACTATTTAGAGTCCGACTATCATATAAATCATTTTACGCTCTAATTCATCAATCATCTTTTTTGTTGCTAAATCCTCATTTTTCCTCAGCTCCTAAAACATGATCTATAGTGTTTGATTTTCAAATGCAGTGAATTCTTAGTATTTATATATTAACAACTGTATAAAAATTATACTTACAAGTAGAAACATGTATTACTTGAATTGCCTCAACTTTCTACCCACATACAACGTATTCAAGTGGCTTAATGAGCCAAGTTATGTTTGGAAGATAGTTTTTCTTTGTTGTTTGGCGAACTTCATTAACGCAGCTGATCGAGTTATCATGCCTATTGTTATAATTCCCATATCGAATCACTTTGGTTGGAATCTTCACCAATATGGATTGGTTCTGAGTTCGTTTTCTGTAGGCTATCTTGGAAGTATGGTAAGCACTACCAGTTCTTTGCTTTTAATTTAAACTAGATTATAGGTGAAAGAGCAGCAAGACGATATGGTGGAGGTCTGATCCTTATTTTTGCCATCGCATTCTGGTCATTGTCATCCCTCCTCACTCCATTCTTTGCACACTCTATTCGCTCTCTGATAACTGTGCGTATACTACTTGGCTTAAGAGAAGGAATAGGTAAGAAAGATATTTTGTCGATCTTAAATTGAAAATCATAATCAAAACTCAAATTTAAATGAAAATTTGGTTTTTAAAAGATCTAAGTTATGTTCTATAGCTTAACATATTTGATTTGGATAAATTAGTGACGAAAGGATTAGTTGACTAAATCAACAATTATAAACAGTCATCGCTTGTAACCTACCCACAAAGCAAGCCTATTAGCGTCGGGCAGAGTTATGCATACTTCCAATCTCATTCTGTTAAGAGATTCTTTATGGTATGTAAAAGTCTTGTTGTTTCCATCATTTGGAATATATTTTTTGAAGGATAAGTGGTCTGAAATTTCTACTACAGGATAGGGTTTTCAACGTCATGTTTATATACAACTCAATAACATGGTATTGTAGAATACATTTGATTCCTAATAAATTCTTACTTCTTTCACTATGTACCAATCTTCAGATAGACCAAACAGGTACATAACAAACACTAAATTATGTTGTGCTGAAAAGTCAAATTACCTGTATACAATGAATGTTATTACAAAATATTTCAAAGCCCGACGTTCGATATCCTGTGGTATAACCCTACCTGGAACTGTTTACCCGTAATTTCTTACTATTATTATTGGTTGCTTTGTATGTCAAATACCTTTTATTAAAAGAAAAATTTCTCTAGAGCTTATCTGGTATGATTTTGTAGCAGATCGGCCTCATCATCTAAAATGAATCATTCTTCATCCACTTTAATCAAAAGTTCATTTGAAAGCCCCAGTTATTGCAATATATTGATATGTAATATATGTTCCGTGTAGTCACAATATTTGTTTTTCGTCGTCTAATATAGGTCTTCCTACGGTATTCCACATATTTTCTTATGTTGTGCCTGTTGAAGAACGCAGTCGATCTTTCAGTTATATGGTCACATTTGGTGCTGTTGGTCAAACAGTAGCTACCTTGGTTTGCCCTCATTTAATTTGGTCTCATTCGTTTTTCATATTTGGTTTTATTGGTCTTGTGTGGATTTGTTTCTGGATCCCTGTCTTTAACGTTGTTAAAAGAGCTGAGTCACGAATTGAGTTGCCTGTTCAACAAGCTGAGGTAAGTTTTAACTCCTCTATTTTTCACTTTGGTTATCGACTCGGAAAAGGCGCAGATTATATCATATACGTTGTCAAACTGATAAGAACCCAATAGATAAGTATATTTTCATCTATCGCTACTAAGCTAATTCAACAGAAGACTCATTGTCTCCAGATTACCTCTTTTTTCTGTAAACTCGATCTATCTGTGCGTTAATGACTCGTGGATACACCTGGAAGATTTTTTTTTCGTAGTTAGTTTAGACAGTTGTAAACTAGTTTGACAATTATCCGAATCAGATAAAAAGACCTTTGTATCGTTCGTTTTTATTAGTGTAATGAAGTCCTTGGGAAATAAATGCCAAGTTAATCTATTTCATGAGACCTTAAGTTACTGAAACTAAATATGAGTATATGAATTTAACTAAAATGTTTTTAAGACCTAGCCCTTCAAATGCACCTAAAGTAGTGAGTAAACTCACATTCTAAATCAATGTATCTGATAATCGTTAAATCCGATGCTTCTGATTTAACGTCTTTCCAATATTTTTTGTCTATAGTCTAGTTATCCCCTTAAATGATTATCCTGTACTGAAACAAGTCTCATTTTCTAACTAGTACAGTACAGCAGCTCTAAGTTTTTCCCTGCTTTTCTTGTTTACAATGCAGCTATCGACTCTTATGTCGTTGATCTGATGTCCGGATTTGTGTCATTAATGTTGGTTTTTAATCCTCTTTAAATCGATAATTAGATTTTAAAGACTGATTCTAGTTCAGGAGTAACACCAACCTTTCTTTTTATGTCCACCCTTGGTATACATTTGTATATTTGTGAATAGAACATAGAAATATGTTATGACTTTCATTACCTTTTCCTTGAACTACTTAGCAATCGTAAATTAAATTTTAACCCGATCCAGCAACGACACGAAATCGTAGTCTTATGTTCAGGTATTTTTATTGAATGTCCGTATTGTTTCTTTATTATTATTATTATTATTGTGCACAGGTTTTTGTACTCATCTATGAAATTAATAAGTCGAAATTTCCATTGTGTGTTAGAGGATTCGAATTTATTTTTCAATTATTAGTTAGTTGACAATCACATTTGATATAAACGCGTCAATAAGAATAGGTATATCAGTAAATAGATGAATGAGTGTTTATACAGCTGGTAAAATAAAAATACTTTACCACAAAGTTTCTATCAAAATTACTAGTATTATTGTTATAAAAACGGTTATGGCATTTTTAAGTACTCTCTGACTGTTGGATTGACCGAATGTCAGTAATTGGTTATATGATCTAACTGATTGTTAACGGCTCATAAGACTAAATTTATTTGCATTAACTAACGATTTCCAAATGATCCACAACCGAAATTACTGAACCATTCATTTTTTATTGTTCTGTTCTTAAGTTTAACTAAATGAGACAATTCATGTACAAAATAATTACACTGAATAAACTTGCATACTACGTGACCAATCATTGTTGAAAGACATAGAACGGCTTTTGAAAATTTGATGAATTTCGGATAACGACCAGATTTTTGTATATTTTTTTACGTTAAATATTTTAAATTAACCAGCTAGGATCTTTTTGATCCACCTTTCATGCTGTTCGGCAGTCATTAGTTATCTACAACCTTGAAGATACTTTTGCTTCTATTGAAATCGCCGCCTAAAATACCCTGCACTTCTGTGTAAGTTATTATTGATTAAAAAAATTACAGGAGTTGTTTATTTGGTCATATTTATGCTGATAAGTATATTTATAAAGATGATTTGTCGATAGGTACCAACAAACTCAATTGAAAACTGAGTCAACCCATTGATGACATCAGATCACCCAAGATTGAATCGTGTGTCCCAAAATCATACAATTTAATACTAAGGCTGATGTCACCATGTGACAACCCAACTCGTGATTTTGGATATTTTGTTAGTTTGAATTTACTTAAACCCTGTTATAATACCGTTTCAATAAGATTAACTTTCTTTATCATATCATAAATTTCTGTGCTAATTTTTTAAATGAAGCCTTCCAAACCGTCTCTTCGTTGGACCGAATTCGTTTCACACTGGCCATTATGGGCAATTTACATTGCTCATTTCAGTATGAACTGGTCAAATTATATTGTAATGCTATGGTTACCGACCTACTTAGTTCGTTATTTGGGAGCTACTGAATATGCCATAATGCTAACAGCTATACCTTATATATGTAATTGTATTGGGAGTGTTAGTAAGTTGACATTTTTAACTCATATGTAGACTTTCTTAGTATCTATGAATTTTTTCATTATACATGCTTGGACATTTCATAACGTGCGATTCAAGAAAGGTTGGGGATAAATTCCGTATTTCTAAGTCACGTTAACATACTAGTAACCGTTTAGTGTGGAACTTCCTCATATACTCTCCTACTCGTTTTAAGAGTCAGAGGTCTGAAATTTACTCCTAAAGTACTACATATCTTCCTGTTTCATGGGTTTTAATTCTTGTCGGATTTTTTGAAATACGAAGTAAACTTTGAAATTCTATCTGCTATTGATATCAGATGACCATTAACTAATTGTTCACTCGTCTAGATATGCCAAGTAGCTTTATTTGGTTTTATGTACGTCAAAAACAAGTAAAGCGATTCAGATATTTCTCATTACCCACTCTCGAGCAACAGAAAAGCTCCGTAAAAGTCTATTCGTTTTACGTTTTACCCTCTTCTAATATCACTTACCTACCTAACCAACACGTTTTCGCTTCCACTAGTGATGATGACGTTTAGGTTTTATAGAAAGCATCCCTAGTCCCAATTAACTGGATATAATCGCATTTAATTTATGTACCTCGTGTTAAATCAGACAATAAACCTCGTTTACAGAAGTCAATATTAAGTGCCACCGGTTTGTATTGTTTCCAGAACATATTAAGATAATCGAAGTCTATTTCCTTGTTTTGCAAAGTTAGTTGAGCTTCTACAATTTACTCTACAATCGTATCAAACAATAATTCATCTGCATTAATAGTTAGAAGACAAAAAAAGGTTAAAACCAACTAAAAACCACAACGTGAATAAATGTTTTTAAAGTATTCTGAGAAAAAGAAAGGATTCAGAATGATTTCGAACTATGTTATCTCGGATTTTCACTCTCTGATTGTAGTGACTTTCATGATGCTTACGATTCTCCACACATTGTAGATCAGTGATTGATTGGTCGGATGCATTTCACGTATGAGAACTTCCTTACTCCTAAATGCCCTGGTACGACCGATGCTGGGGGGAGTCCACTCTCTCTCGAAATGCTTTCATATAGCCACGCGTATGGCCACTGCTATGGAAGTCCTATCTACTGCCTTATCGCGCTGAAGGTGTTTACGAAATTGAGAGGACAAAAAGCGAATGTTTGGTGCTTTAACGGGGTTGATGGACACGGAGAATCCAACTAGTGAAGTTGGGAAACCCTGATTCCAAACTAATAGTGAACATGGGTTCCAGTATCCTGAAGAAACAAATGGCGTATGAACCAATCGTTGGTCACCGGCTACCATGGGACTGCATCTCCTTACGTTGCTCCACTTCTTTGTGAATCAGACATTCAGGTCGAAGACTCCGGATGTGGTCCCCTAAGAAAACCACCTGCTTCGGTTTGGGCACCCGGGCAGTACCACACCCCTCACACATATCAAATGAAATTTGTGTGGCGCATATGTATTTAGTGCCTCCTTGTACCAATATCTATGTGTTAAAATAAATAAATGAAACAGTTCTTCTACAGAAAGTGCGTTCGATAAATATTGTAGTACTAACCGGAGACTTGATGAATGCCCAGGTCGGGCGTCCAGGCACATAAGAGAGTCGTTTAGGTGACCGATGGAAACTTGTTAGTCGCATGTCAGATAATGAGAACGGTCTACTGCAACTGTGCGCAGACTACAACCTATTTTTGACTAGCACAAACTTTCGGCACAGTCATCACCGATGTGCCACCTGGCGTCCTCCAACTGCATCTCAAGCCTGGACTCAGATTGATCACATCGCGATTAGCTACTGCTGGCGTGGTTGTGTACAAGACTGCCACTCCTTTTGTAGTACCTATCTGGACTCCGATCATGCACTTGTTTGCGTTAATCTTACCTTGCGTTTTAGTGGTCAACAAATTCATTGTCCTAAACGGATCGTTGTCAGTAAACTAGTTGCAGCTTCTGTTTCAACTAAATATCAAACCAAACATGATTCAAGGCTAGGTATTAACCCACTGAAAAGTATGGACAGGAACTGACTGCTCTGTATGATACTATGAAAAGCCGCATGTGGCTTCATGAAGCGTCCTGCTCAGAAGCATTGAGTCTTTTACAGGCTCCTTACCTATCAGGACTCTGATGATGCACTTGTTTGCACTAATCTTACCTTGCGTTTCAGTGGTCACCAAATTCATCGTCCTAAACGGATCGATGTCAGTAAATCGGTTGCAACTAAATATCAAACCGAGCAAGGTCATAGGCTAGCTAACAATCCACCGAAACATATGGATGAGCATTGGCTGCAATTGTATGACGCCATGAAAATGGTGAGTAAAGTTGCTTGCGGCTTCGCGAAAAGTCCCGCTAATAAGTAATGGGTTTCTTCTGACTCCTTACAACTCACTGAAGTTCGTCGGTCTACTCCGGGTGACCGTGAGTTTGACTACAAACGACGACTGTTACGTAATGAAATTGGGAAAAGCTTGTGTCAGGACCGAGAAGTCTGGAGGTCGGAGCGTTCCAATAAGTTTGGAGTAACAGCTGCGTCTGGTAACTGCCAGAAGTTCTTTCAACTCATCCAAGACACTGGCAGAAAGAAGTCTGGTGTGGGCGAAACAATCTGTGAGGATGACGGGATGCCAATCACTAACATCAAACGACGTCTTGTACGATGGGCAGAGTATTTCCAGGAGCGATCGTAGTGTTTCTTGACATCACGGCCGCCTTTGATTCGTTGGACGGGACTGTTCTCTTGGATTGTCTATTGAAAAAGGGTATGCCTGAGAAGTTTATTAACATCTTAAAAGCCCCATATACAAACACCTCAGGTAGAGTGAGCGCATACAACCACCTTCCTCCATTGTTCCATCCAAGTAGTGAGGTTAGTCAGGGTTACCCAATCTCACCATTCCTCTACAGGTTTGCTATCGACGACGTTCAAGAAACAGCTCTGATGGATGTAAGTAACGGCGATGTGGATCTGTTTCCTAGAAAAAGACTTCTCGACCTTGAGTAGGAAGATGATATTGTCTTACTGTGCGATAATAACCAAGCCATCCAATCCACACTTAAACAGTTAGCAATTAATATCCGTAGGTATGGTATGTACTTCTCACCTTCGAAGTGCAAAGTACTTTTACAAGACTGCCAGGACCCTGATCCTTCACTAACTCTGGACAGTGAGCAGATAGTAGTCGGCAGGTTTGTGTATCTGGGTAGCTGCATGAGTGCTGGTGGTGGCGTGAGTGATGAGACCAATGCACGTATGGTGAAAGCCAGAGCGGCTTATGCCAATCTTCGCCGACTTCGGTGCCTTCATGATGTCAGTCTGGCTGTAAACGGTCGGATCTACAACGCGTCAGTGAGAGCAGTTTTGTCCTATGCTTGTGAAACCTGACCTCTCCGAGTTGAGGATGTTAGATGACTGTTTGTGTTTGATCATCGTTGTCTCCGAAGGATTGCTGACATCCAGTGGCAACACCATGTTAGTACTGCAGAGGTTCAGCATCGTGTGTTCGGGCGCAGAGACGATAATTCAGTTGGTGTCACTATCTTGAAACATTGACTTCGGTGTTTTGGACATGTTCTACGAATGTCGTCCCAGAGAATTGCACGCCGTACATTATTTGCCAACGCTGGGACTGGTTGGGAAAAGCGGAGAGGTGGTCAGTGTATGACATGGTGTCAGGACTGGTTTCTGTCGGTCTTCCACGACTATCTGGTTGTGGTTTTACAGATGGTGCCACACAGTAGCTAGAGACGTTATCAGATATGGCTCAGAACAAAAGTCAATGGCAATCCTCTTCTGCATCTTTATTTTACTTCATAAGAAAATGGACGTAACGCAAAATTGTAAATTTTCTTAATAGAAATCTGAAGCACGTCTACTTATTCAAATTGACCTGTCGTAAAAGATATTTTGTTTTTTTACGCTAAACCGATTCTTTCCTTTCAGTCGCCGGACGGCTAGCGAATTACTTAACTAAACGGCAGTTCAGTGTACTAACTGTTCGACGCCTAATGTCATCTATTGGTCTTCTTGGTCCAGGTGTGGTACTTTTTTTGTTTTCTCTATCAAGCAGTGTAACATCAGCTATTGTGTGAGTTTTTAGATTTTTTTTATTTGTAATTTTCTCGTTATCTCTGGAATATTGAATTGGAATAGCGTTTTACAACACTCCTTCTGGTAGGGAGTACCTTAATAAATCTACTTGCTAACACCACAGTTAGTTTACTTAATGCTGTCAAGTTGCATCTTTTTTGTAGCATTATTATCAATGTGTTTTCTGTGTATTTCTTTCCGGTATTAGATTAATCACGATCCTAATAGCTTTACGAATATCCTTTTTGTGTTTAATTAAGACGTTTTAAAATAAGACATCTGTCTTCAAATTTCCCAACAGGCATGTGACGTACGTCCATAATTTTCTTCCCATTCCACCCAAAATTCCCTGCACTGGTTGCAACAAACTACCACATGATCTCGCTATTTTGGTTTTACTCTTCGGAAATGTAGTGCTTTCCCAAAGTTATTAAATTGTTACTTAGTGTCTGCTGTCCATGTATCTTGTGCATCAGATATTATGTATAGCATCACTTCTGACTATTTCTTATGCATTCTTAGTTTCCATTGAAATTTATGGTTACTTGTTATAGGTTATGTTCTTTTCTGCTAAATACGCTCAAAAATTATAGTTTTGTTTCAGGGAAACGTATAGTGGTTAGAACTGTTTTGTTAGTCAACAAAAATCAACGTTGAAGAGTACCACAAATTATCGGGTTTTTTGTAGAAACAGTGAAAGGAACAATGATATGTAGTAAAAGGTTAGGTTGAAGTAAAACTAAGGGACGAGCTAACGTATAACTTTGCGCCACTGAAGTTAATTTTGAGGTACGCTCAAATCTTCCTGCGTGGAATAATAATGTGTTTTAGCTTGAATTTTCTGGTGCTTCTTGGCACATTCCTACTCCAAAAAAACACACTAGAAACCTTTATTTTAGATAGATGGTTTTGGGTTATGACCTGTTATCGAACTATATCGATGTCTAAAGGCTTGCAGCACCACAAATTTTTCATCTTTATCTAAAACAGTGTGACCCTTTTCATCACTGTGTAACCAAAAATTTCGCCACAACCGTATTGATGTTAAAATATCGCTAGTTTAGATACTTACAGTATTCCGATTTCATTCATTTATATTCTTTGACCACATCGTATTACCTTTCAGGGCAGTTTTCGCTCTTCATCTATGCGTTTCATTTTGCCTCCGCTTCTAAAGGTGGTGTAATCTGTTGACTATCAAACGATCTCTGTGTCCTCTTATTGAAGTGTCAATGGAATTCATTTTCACTACGACACTCCAAACTACTTATTCGAATAAGTCACTTTCAAAATCAATTATTCACTTCATAATCCTTTATGGCTCCTTTATAGGTAGTGTTGTGACGTGTAGACTGCATATTAAAGTGAAGCGTATTATTGATCGGACTAATGACACGTAAAACACGTACGAACGACCTAGAGTCTCGATTGGTCCCGCTTCCCTGTCTAGCCCAGCCAGTTTAGTCCAGAACACAAATCTCAGCCTCTGAGTTATGAATCATTATATTTCAGACATACTCTATTTATATGCCAAACAAACAAACCACATCGTACCATAAAATAGAAAACAACATTTGTACAATATTTAACAAGTGAAGTGAATATCGACCAATAGGGAGTGTCTATTTAACGTCCAAGGACATCATTAGACTTAACACGATAATTATTGGTATATTCCTCTGCATCCCTAACAGGTAGCCTAAATATTTTCTTAAGGTTGATGGCGATTATCCACTAATAGCTATAACATTGTTCTTTTTTGAAGGGGGCGTTAACATTCATTTTCGAGTAGCACTTGGTGAAACTTAGCGATGATGTTATTTTCTACAATTATCCAAGGGGAAATGCAAATTCTTCAAGTATGGCGTAACTTGTGTCCAAATGCATTATGGGAAATAAGCGAATTTTTGCAATGCGATACTCTGGACACCAGGTTTTTAATTGAGATTTAATCTATGTAAAAGCCAATGAAGTGTGTTTCATTCAAAAAGTGAAGATGACCAGTCAAATTCAAGCTGGGCGGAATGGGTTATTTGTATTTATAGGAAAATCGTCGTTGATGAGGTTGTAATGAAGCGTGATAACATTATAGTTAAAACATCTGATCCGAAAGACTCCATGATGGAGAAATTTCATTACAATTCTGACACTAACATGCAATCATATATGCGTAACCCTACAGTCATTTAGTTTTCATCGGAATATGTGAATCTGATACAACGATAAAAAATAAGGTAAATCTACAGTACCTCATGGGTATGCTTGTCTGTATATTCCTGTGTACAATATGTATCATTCATGTAAACAGAAATTCGTTTTTCCCTTTTGCCTTAAAAAACGTAGCATGATACTGAGATTTTCTTCGATAAGCATAAAATATTATCAGGTGTTGACTTTTTTAAGGGACTGAATTGAATGAATATTCTCATATAACGTTCCTATGAATTATCTTTGTGTTGTCAGTTGGTATTCCCTATCAGTTATGAGTAATTACTTCTAGATTTTGATTATTATTTCACTGAGTGTAAACTGCAAAATGTTGGTACAGAAGTCTTTTAAATCCGTCTGTAGCCTTATGATTTGTACAACATTCTTTTGCTATATTTTCCAATTGTTCAATTTTGTACATATCATGAAAAATTGTTTTGTTTTTCTTTAGTCAGTATTGTTTGTTAATGTTAATTATTTAGAAATTGATACTAGTAATAAGCTCCAACATAAATGTAGGTTTTACAGAAAAACATTTAAAAGCCTTCCTGTAAAGAAATTTCAGTTTTTGCGAGCTCATAGGAAAATGACTTATCTTTCATTCAGTCCTTAACGTAAATAAAAATTAGCTCAGTAAATTAGATGCAAATGTGTGTAATGACTGTGAATCTCACTTAGTATGCTTGCTGTAAACCATCACTGAATTATGTAAGTAAGGTAAGTTTCATTATCACATCTTATAAAAATGCATATTATTATTAGATTATTTGATTACTTGTCATGAAATAGTGTTTTCTTGTTGACTTTCCAATAGAACTCATCTAATAGAATTCAGAATTTATTTTCTGTAGTTTTACCACTAGCATCAGCTGTAAATATACCTGAAAAGTTTATCAAATTATCGTTTTTCATATGGCATTCACGATATTGCTGTCAGTATCAAAATATTATGAAGGTATTATATTCTTTTTTTCGATCTTTTACTTTGATTCAATTCATTTGATTTAGCCTGATTTCTGTGTCCATGACATTTTCCGCCTTCAATTCTGCTGGACATTTATGTAATCATGTAGAGGTTGCACCTAATCATGCAGGTACCACATTTATCATAAGCAATATTTTGGTGAGTATCATTAACTTTTATTGTTTTATTGCGAACTGATTCAAATTTATCTATTTAAAACTGGTGTATGTTTTTTTGGTATCTCCCATGTTGTTCATCAAAGTTTATCGTTATTTGTAGTGAGATTTAACCTATCAACATGAAAAATCAGTACTACGATTTAAAATGATCGAAAAAGCACAAGAAATTTAGACCATAAATATCGAGCTAGCGAAGCTTGAGTAAAAATGATGACCGTTGCTGCTACTTTGATGTGGTGGTCGGGCTTTCCTGTTACGATGAACTAATCGCGCTCTACTGGCTGAAAAAATTGTTCCTCAAGGTCCTACCGTACTAGGCAGGTCGGTTGAAGAGCGGTAAGACTAAAGGCAGCAAACATAAAGTCTGAGGGGGAATTCATACTGCTGATTGTACAGAGGTGTCAAGGCAGTAGGGCGTTTCTTCCAGACAACCAGCGTAAGAGCGATGCTGCCTTCCCACAAGGAGTGGTGGGGTTAGAAAAGGTCGACCCTAAAAATGCGCACCTCGCCTTATCCCACGGATATCCGTCTCCGGCGGTAAAGTCCCAAAAAGTACGGAGCTAACACAAATATTACCCATAAAAAGGTGTATGACCGACCACAAGCAGTTGTCTCTTAGGCACTGTGGTCACGCTCCCGGGTCACTAAGACCACTTCTAATCCGATATCCTTTTCAGGTACCTCCAGAACAACCCTTCGATGGTGTGGGCAACCGGTAAGTGATAACCGCCCTTATACCTCTAACAGCACTCAAGACCACTGTATTCATAATCAACATTTCCGAGAACAGTTCAGCTGGCCTTCAGCTACTCTACAACTACCCTCCATTCCCAGACAGTGTGAACGGAACATTAAAGTAGGTCCCCCAACTCTAGCAGAAGTTCAAAAGGCTATAGTTAATCTGAAACAAGGAAGGGCAGCTGGTCCAGATGGATTGGTTCCAGAAGTCTTTAAGGATGGTGGTCCAATTTTAGCGATTAGGTTGACTAATATTTTAGCTAAGTTCTGGGAGTTAAATGTTATTCCATCTGACTGGTCGCAATCACTTATCGTCCCAATATGTAAGAAAGGATCAAAATCATCTTGTGACAACCACAGAGGGATTAGTTTAACAAATATAGTATCTAAAATACTAGCCTCAATAATAATCAGACGCCTAACTAAGACTCGTGAACTGCAAACACGAGAAAACCAAGCTGGCTTCAGACCTGGTCGTGGTTGCATCGACCACATATTCACCATTCGTCAGGTTCTAGAACACAGGCATACTTATCGACGTCCGACAATGGTGGTCTTTCTTGACTTAGAAGCAGCACTCTGTAGACTGAGAGGTTCTGTGGCAGTATCTGTCATTGAAAGGTGTGACTCAGAAATACATAAACCTTGTGAAGGCTCTTTACTTGAACATTATCATTACAGTCAGAGCTTGTGGTGAACTGTCATCTGATTTTGTAATTTCAAGGTGTCTGACAAAGCTGTCCACTTTTTCCATTTCAGTTCAATTTCATCATAGCCCTACTACTGGAAATAACGTTCTCGTCGTCTGAATTTTTGGGAATTGATCTCTTACCAGCACGTTCACTTATCGATTTAGAATACGCAGATGATATAGTCCTGTTTGGTGAAGACGCTGATAAAATGCAGTCTTTTGGTAGCGCTGAGCAACAATACCAGAATGTTTGGGATGCGTTTCTCTCCCTCTAAATGCAAATTGTTGCGTCAACGCCTGAACTAAAGATAGGGAGTGAAGCAGTCTAACGTGTCGATAACTTCACTTATCTTGGAAGTCTGATCAGCCCTAATGGATTGGTGTCTGACGAAATCTCAGCACAGATTCAGAAAGCTCGTTTTGCTTTTGCCAACTTACGTCACCTATGGCGAAGGCGAAATATCCGTCTATCAATAAAAGGACGAGTATACTGCGCGGCAGTCCGTTCTGTTTTAATTTACGGCAGCGAAACATGGCCTTTAAGGGTAGACGACACCCGTAAGTTACTAGTATTTGACCACAGATGCCTTAGAAATATTTTTGGCGTCTGTTGGGATCGCCGGGTAAGTAATAGTGAGGTTAGACTCAGGGTATTAGGGAATGATGGTAAATCAGTTGATGAGGTTGTTAATCTTCATCGACTGAGATGGTTGGGCCACGTGTTACGTATGCCTGAACACCGATTACCACGACGTGCAATGCTATCCGGTATTGGAAATGGTTGGAAGAAAGTTAGGGGCGGCCAAACCAAAACGTGGCATCAGTGCTTGAAGTCACTAACTTCTAGTCTGAGCCATGTTGGTAGATGCAGACTTCTTGGTTGGGGTCCGCGTGACTTTCGTAACCAATGGTTGGAGACTATTGGTGACATGGCTCAGAATCGATCACAATGGCGTCGGTGTATACACTCCCTGTCTTCCCTTAAACTAAGAGATTAAAATCACTTCATATCTTTCTTTCTACTAACTAATTCTTTCTTCCTATACTATATCCTTATATGCAATCTTTCTCCTATATATTACCACCTTTAACCTAACCACTCCTATGAATCCGGTGTTCATCTTGCTGTGTTAATGAGGTATGGTAACCTGGACCGATGCATATATGTGCCTGGTCCTACGTTGTAGCTGACTGACTGACTGTTTTTTACTATCTGAGCTGTATATTATCTCGAAACACTGGTCCAAACTCTATATAAGATGATTCTAATTTAAATGTAGTAGTAAATAATACTTTGAAATAGTATTTAATATAGCTAATTTTTATTTTGCCTTATCGTTCATTACATTTTCTACTATATATAGGCTACTATACCTGGAATAGTATGTGGTCCACTAACTGCCGAATTAGTTATCACATCTGGTGGAAGGTGGTTTCCTGTATTCATACTAGCTGGTTTTATAAATGTAGTTGGTGCTGTTGTGTACATTAGCCAGAGTTCTACAACACAAGTATTGTAATCATGCGAATAATGTGTACAGATGTCCATGTACATTCACTTTTTTTATTCTTCCAGCTTTGTATCTGACTTTTTTCCTACCCAAGTCTATACTTCCTCTCCTTACTTAATTAATTAATCATGAACTGTGCCTTCAACTTTCTGTTTGACGAAATTCGTTGTCAAATTTACGTATCGACCATGTAAGGTATCTCCGCAGAGATATGGTCAAGATTTATTCATTGAATTTATTCGGTTAAAATTATTCACCCTTTACTAAAACGAAATCACACTGTTTCGTTATAAATTAGTAAATCGACAAATCATTGTTACTTATCCCTTGATTTTAACAAATGATACTGAGTATTAAAAATGAATTAATACACTGGCAATATTACGATATAGAATTGACGATAAAACGTAGTTTCTTATGATTAGCTTTATCAATCACAATAAAATTTGAAATAATTGTATGACAAAGAAACAAATACATGACTTAATGGTCAGAATAATTTACTGCCCAACACTTAACATTCTAAACATAGGCATCTAGCGTTTAAAGTTTTCATTCTCGTGCTATAATTCTGTTATGAATAACCTATGAAATAGTATTTTGGCGGTGAAATCCCGCAATAATCTAAGAATATACAAAGTTCCATTTAGGAACTGTGGCATTTTCTATAACTGCATTAACACTATCACCCTCAATGTTTCCACTTTGATGCAGACCAGACAACAGATAGGTTTGATGGTCTTCGACAGATTGACACAAGCAGACTGATTGAACCTTCTGTTACGATCAAATCGAGTTGGGTCCAAGGTTAGCTGGATGTGTTTGGGTGACACCATAGAAGTGGCAGGTCAAGTCGCTTGCGGCTCTGCGAGGCTTCCCGCTCTCTAAGCACGGGTTTCACAGACCCATCGGTCTGTTCTGGCGAATCACAAGTTTGATGGCATGTAAATTCATAGCTCAGAACCTTTTACAACGTTTGGATAAGGGGTGAGTAACCTGAAGTCCTTAGCATACAAACGATTTGAAAGTAGTAGATACATCGAACCTTGCGGCAAGCTGTTTCATTCTATCTTGCTCTGTGACCAGTAACTTCAGGTCCACCCAGTGAAGCAGAGGTCTGTTCAGAGCTACAGATTTCGGAAAGTCATCAGGCCTAAAAGATCTACGAACACCACAAATTTGTATGAAAATGCAAGAACAATGAAATCTGATTCATTTTGAGACAATTGATCGACATATTGCAAATCACGCATTCACTGTATGATTGCTAGATTTTATTAACTAGTCCTGTAATTTTCTGTAAAATACATTCGGTTGTCCTCACTCGTATTCTTGTTCACTACACTATCGCGAATATCGGCTACAGTCACATCATCATGATAAACAAACAGTTGGCTTTACAGCAGCCATTTGCTAGGGATGACTATAACTTGCTGTTTCTCCTTGTCGCTAACCACGATGCATTACCCGGATTGATGCTAAAAATCAATGCCATGGTGTTAGAAATCGAAGGTTCATTACATTCATGGACATTCGTAATAAGTTCCTGGTGAACGAGGTCAAATCACTAACCAACAGGCATACTGCACAAACTATTATATTTACGGCAGGCCTTGAGAAATGATGTCACATTATCTATTGAAATGTGTGTACCAAGGAAATGATCACCTCATAATGCTGTGTCGTTATACAGATACACTTACAAAGTATATCTATCAACCTAATCCACGTACACTCGAAGCTTACGGCAGAACACTTGAATATACCTATAGTACTGGAGGGAAAGGTGTCAGTAAATAAATCTAAAAGGTTACGGCATACCCTGAAACTAATCCTTACTCCACCACTAATTTCTGTGATGAATCCCGGTTGACCATTGGCAACCACTACATTGTCAGGTCTGGCAGTTAATAGCCTTGAGAATACATTCAATATATTATTGAAGTACAACAGCATACACATTACTAGATATTCTACATAGCTGAGCACTTGTTATACATTAGAATGACTACGTTTATACTAACAAGAACGGGACCACTTAACCTTTCCAATTCGAACAATTCTAGAGACATATCGAGTAAGTGGATTTGTACTGATCTATGTTAGCAGGCATACGATACGTCAACATAACATCTTTTAGTAAGCCTTGAGATTCTGATAACAAACAATTATCAGAATTTTAATGAGCTTCCCTTCATCCCAATTCCTCCGTTTCAGCATAATAGCTTCTGGTCGCTTATTTAAACGGGGAACTGTAGCATTCGTATGAACCAATGATTCCTTTGTACTTGGTGACTGTCCGATTTCGAATTCAAAATACAATACGTTCCTTCATGCTCACTTAGTTCTAGTTGGCCTTAATTGTGTTATTTCTAGTTTGTATAATAATTCAAATACTTCTAATTATCACAGGGACTTCTGAAATTCGTCTCAGTACCATTTTAAAATATTTTTGTGATTGTAACAAGCTGTGAAATCAATTACAAGAAAATGACTTAGTGATCATTAGACATCACTATTAGAACAAGAAGAACATACAATCACCTACGACTCGTTATCTTGAACTGTTTTCACTAAAACACACTGAAAGTGAGTTGTCAAGAGGATAGAAAATAACAACATCAGAGGAAATACTTTGAAGCCAAGACTGAAAAAAAACTATTGAGCTCGTTCGCTTCTATGCATTGATTGTTTGACTCACGGATACCAAAGCACAAAGCCGTCCTATATAGGACTGAGACGAACGTCAATTCTAGCAATTAGGAGCTCAATCTATTTTAGCTTTGCTCCAAATAGTGTACAGCTCTTAGGCAGGCACACACACATGAGTCAACTGACCCGGTGGAAAACGATTCATTCCTTTCAACTGTTAATAGCAAAACAAGCATTGCTTTACCAGTGTTTTGCTACGTACAAAACAGTGAACAGAAAAGTGGGTTTTTTATAAACATTTGGATATCTCTGGAGATAATTTAGATAAGCTTTTTATAATCATGGCAAGTAAGCACTTAGAGCCGGATTAGCTCTCTATGAAAGCTAAATAGTGAATAGATTAAATATTTAACCCTATACAATACTTAATGTAAGACTCGACTGAATAACAAAATTTTACCACATGAGCATCAAGTTCAGAAAACCTTTCAAAGGTTAACGAATTTAAATTAACATAAAATTTATCCCGAGATGTTTGTAGAATTTCGTAAGTGGAAAACCTAGGCAAATATTGTGGATTTTTGTGATCCATTGACTGTACTACTTAGTTTGATGTAATGATAGAAAATTTTGTCCGTTCACCACTTTTTGTGTAGATCTTTCAATGCGACAATACACACCTCGAAAGCAAATTTCTTCCAGAAAGTGATTGAAAGTTTCCAATCTCTTAGAGTGAAAGGGCACTGATTGATTTATAAAATGAAACATTTGATTTATGTCATCCCTTAATACAACATTTTTAATGGCTACTAGAACCCTTTAGCATGACATGTGAGTTCTCTTCAAAAAACAGTTAAAGCCTGATCAAACTAATTAGATTAACATATACATATTTTGAAACACTAATGCATATCACTGGCTATTGGTTGAACTTCTTATGTGGGAGTCATAGGAATTAAAAAACCCGTACTGACTCACTAAAGTACACATCAAAACACGCAAGCTTACTAAACAACAAATCCCAATGATGTCAATCGTTGAAATATAGTGAAAAGAGTGCACCGATATTCATTATGGCTGATTGCTTCAAAATATATACCTAATAATGATAATTTAGAACTAAATTTGAGATTAAATAGTACTATTTAAACTTGGATTAATTTTAATTTGGTTATTTATCCTCTGAAGAAGTGACTTACAATAAGTCACGAAACGTCAGGAAATCTAATTTTCTACTCATTGGGATATTACAAATATATTATTTATTTATAACAATCTACCCAGTGCTCAATTTATTCGAAATTATCAAATCAAACCTTGGTAATGATACATATAAGTGTCTTATGGTTTATCCAAATTTGTTTGAAAATTCAAGCGAGACGCCATCTAGTCAAACACAAGAAACAAGCATAATTGTATTCTAAAATGTGACTGGTTTGTCATCCAAAGAGGAGACCGCTTTTAAAAACACTTCTTGAGAAAAAACTCAACAGGAACGGAAAAAGGCGTGTATCAATAGGAAAATAGTAACCAACTTCTGAGCTGTGAGAAAAAATAATCCGATTTTAATAGAAAGGAAAGTGGGAAAAACATTTAAAACTAAACACTACTAATTATTGTAATATAACAGCTCTTTGAGTTTTTCCATCTATGCACATATTTCTTTTTTTCGATACACACGATAGAGATAAATAGACATACACACATACAAGTAAAAATAAATGCTGCATTGAAGAAGTAAGGATGGAATCACAACGGCATTTCTAAAAACAAAAGTACAACTTTCATTGAACCTTTCTGAATGTAAATAAACACATAGAAAAAACTAGCCAGCAGATTAAAATAACCAACAAATAAATGAAAAATTCTAAATTTTGATTGTCTCTGGTTCCTTTTTCCTTAATAGATATATTTATGTGATTCTGCTTCTTTTATCAGTCTCTCGCGTAACCAACTGGTTGAATAAGAGGAATAAGAGCGTTAGCTAGTTCTGGAGTTCCCGCACATATAACATTTCTCGCCATTAAATCTACAGGTTTACCTAAACAAAATTTAGAAAGAAAATATGTAACATTACAGAATTGTTATGACACAGTAATTCAGTTTGGTTGCTCGTTCACAAATACAACTGATACATACATGCAATTAGGAGGAGGATAGAAGTTTGCACATATAAAACTTATTTTCTAGGTGGATAGTAACAACTGGATGTCCATGTTGCCTTTTTGCATAAATTTATGTAAACTGATGTTGAAGTTATCACGACCAGAACCGAAATAAAAGGAATGGTTGTATTCAAAGATTTATAGATGAAATTCCAGACTGAACTCTACAACACTGGATGGATATGATAACGTGGAATTAACGAAATAGCTTTGTATCCATTAAAAACGCCAAATTACAACTAAGCTTGAGAAAATAAAAATTTGCAGAGATAATACACTGGTGTTCAAAGCCATCACAAATAAATATCTTCTAAAGTGAAACTAGCTGTAAATATTTTCGAATACAGTGCATCGATATGCGTTTGTTACAAACTCGATTAGAATATGAACATTCCATCACCAACCATTTATAAGATCAAGTTGAGTTTACCACCGATAAGCCATCCAGTCACTATCAATAGTCCGGTTTTGTGGTTTTAACAAGAAGTTATTGTTCCTACAATGTATTTATTCTTTCCTATAGACTTGTAGAAACCACAAAATGACGTCGCTTTCTAAAGTTTACCTTTGACTCGCATATTCATCATGTAAGTCTTTCAGTTCAATTATTAGTACTAAAGATTAAAATGAAAAGGAATCATTTAGGTACTACTATTTTCCACAATTTTTGTGTAAATAACATCAAAAGCAATCTAGAAATGTACAATCGGTCATTTTTGGAACAACGTAAATTAAGTAATTACTTACACTTACATGACAGAACTAAGAAAAGAGTAATATTAAATCATCAATGCATGGTTAATTGTTTTGGTAGTACAGCAACCGAATCCGATATCGTGTGGTAATCATGTCAATCCCATTTAGCGTACAAAATGTCAAGATACTATGTTTTACAAAATACGTGTTAATGACTTACATTGAGCTAAGTCACAAGTCTGAATTCCGTTTAAATGAGGAGATTCAAATGAACTACATGCTGCGTAACCTTACAGTTTCAAAAGACACCTCGACAATCGGCATAATTTTGCTTGGTTGATAAATATTTCATATTGAAACAAACGAAAATGCCACATTCAATACGTAAACATGCATTATTATAAAAGATGATTATTATTTACATCGTTTATAATTAAGTATTTACAATAAATTAGATTGATAAACATTCGGAAGTATTAAGACTTTCACTGTAAAGCGGATGGTGGAACCGTATAAGATGGACGTAACGAAAAATGTTAAGACTTAAAATGAATATTATTGTTGCAAGCTTGCCAGAAGCTTTCATCATAATTTATTCATTAACAAATCTCAAACCAGAAGTGTTGTTCACTTAATATACTTCTTACCAGGATTAAGATATACACAATGAACACATTATGTTCATAATTCCTTCATTCACCTTACCTTTAGTTTTTACCGAAAGCAATTTTGAATTTCGAGACAGGACAGGATCACAATATGAGTCAATCAAATGGCAGAAGTGGAAAATTCGTATGAAATTTCACTTTCGTTTACAAACAGAAAGATATATCAGCCTGAGTATTCATGAATAAAAATTGGAGGAACAAAAGTAGACACCATAGATTTAAACTGTGATCATCACTATTACGAATTATACTTAAATATGCATGTGAAATATAAATAAAAATGTTGGAACTCAGGAAAATGCATAAATTCTAGACTTCCTTTTCTCTTATGTGAATAACAATAATTTCTTATTCGGATAAACAAGTAGCATGCTGAAAACACAAATTAAACGCACATAATTCACTTAAAACTTTCGTTTTACTCAGTGGAATAATAAACCCAAAAAATCGTCAGCGAGCTCCCATACAACCAGTTGAATACCACTAACGTGATGGTTAGAGTTGAGATGTTTATGTACAAAATTACAACTTAATTGTCAAAAATAAGTTCTTTTCAAACAATAAATCATTCATAAGACGATGATAAATAAACTAGTACTTAATCCCGGTATGTAACTTGAGCCAATGAATTAAGAATTGGAATTCTGATCCACATTCTTTATTCTCACCACATAATTACAATCACAAAAGGAAGTTATTTGCCTAATTACACAGTTTATTACCGAATTCTGAAAACTTATTTTTCAGCATAATACAAATGTATAAGCACGATTTGTTGAAGAAACGAAACCAAAAAATTTTAAACTACATAACGTACCGTCAAAATTACAACAAAAACCTCCTGCTTCACGAACAATTAATACAGCTGCGGCATAATCCCAACAGTGAATTCCAAATTCGAAAAATATATCACCATTACCGGCAGCAATCTGACACATATGCAAAGCTGCTGAACCCATGGTGCGCACACTAAGTTGCAAAATAAAAAATTACTTAATCAAATAACTTTTGAAAAACAGTTTACGTTTGAAATACCAACAACTAATTTCGGCAATGCTAATTTTTGAAAAAAATTAAGCTGAATGATCTGACATGATTTCCAGAGTTTCGTAACTCGAAAAGCGCCTGGATTTCATAGTCCAGGCGCAATATTGGCAGTTAATACTGATATAAACAAAACAGTAAATAAAGGATGGTAAGATATTTCAATATGATTCTAAAAACGTCTTTGATTTATGACAAAAATCACTATCCGTAGGATTCGATTGAGTTTTAACGTCCTGTATGCTACAAAGAACTGTTTACACAAGTTCCTGAGACTAAAGCAAACCTAATGTAATGTTTTTAAAAATACTGTGTAATCCCATCGTACTGGGTTTTTATCCACTTAAACACAAGTAGTATTTACAACACGATGAGATCGAATTAAAAGTTCCTTTGTTATTAAAACGCTTTAAGAGAATGATTACTTTGAGTGGTTTGTTCAAGGGTACATTGTATTAACCTTAAAATTTGAATTATTTGTATCAGACAAATGTAAAGTTGTATGTACTCCGTGTTTCATTTAGTTTCGCAGACGAAATCATCTCATAATACACACATATGATGGCCGATGGTGGCGTTTGATAGAAAACAATTAAACTGGACAAAAGGCAAATCTATTACAAGAGTTACTGTGGTGAACAAGAACACGAGTGGGGAAAACCAAATGTATTTGAACACGAAATTACAGAATATCTCACTAAAATTCGAGAACCATACAGTAAATCTTTAATTTGCAAAATATCAATCAATTGTTCCAAACTTGACTGTTCCTTTTACAAATATCAGTGAATCGTGTCAGATTTCATTGTTTATGCATTTTCATACCAATCGCTCTCAGTTCCCGTTCTTCCACTGAAATGCATTCTACGTCTGACCATCGTTATAAACTACTTATGCGGATATAAGTAGCTCACGCAACACTACTACTAGCAGCCTCTAAAAAAACAAAACTGTTAATTTAATCCCATATGTTACTGTTTAACGTTAACCACTGTTATAACAAACACATACTGGTTATTCCATTCGACATTGGACGGTTAAATTTAACTGCTAGAAAGCTATAGGTTATCTTCGTAATCGGTAAAACTAACCAACATGATATTTCTACAACATTTAGGAACTATTTTATAGGTGGCGTTACTAAGAGTTGATTACAAATAAGGTGAGTATTGGGTAGGATGTTCGTAAATCACTGTACTGACCTTTCTACAATAAAATTAACCTACGTAACTAACATGAAAGTAATTCACACAGCATATATGGTTGGAAACCCTTGTAGTTAATCCTAGTATCACTGGCAAATAGCTATTTGTAGATTTGATATTCTTACAAAATTTTAACTAATCACTTGATTTATTTGACAGAAAATCTACTTGGCACTACGGTTTTGAAAAGTTTTTTGAACTGAAATGTATGTTTCATTTCTGCAGAGATAACAAAAATCCTACAGTACAAAATATTGAAATGTTGTTTCGGGCACAAATAGGAAGAATAACGCACGTGTTTTTGTTATAACTAAAATACAAAAAATGGTAAGTTTAATAGAACTTAAAATTGAATTTTATATTAGCCAAAATATAATGTGCCATTTGTTTAGTTTTAGCCAAAATTAGTGCATAAGATGCCAGTAAATTTGAGTGTTTCGTGTACACTACGGAGTATGCTGCATTAGTGTAGCCGTATTACCAAAAGCCACGTTTCCTGGATACAACACTTAAAGAAACGCAGAACACTACAAATGTTTATTAATCTAGCTGGTAATTATTATTTCAAGTTAAATGACAATCTATGTCTACTTCTAAGCCTTTACAGTAGGATGATTCCTAAGCCATAAGTGTTGCGAAAACAGGTATGTCGTTTTACGGCTATTTCAGGCGAAAAAAAATTAAAACTCACAACCACCTTACTGCAGTATTCTGATCTCATGCCATTGCACAAAACACGTAAAACTATGGTTGATCTCTAGTTAAGATCGCGCATTTGGAATAAGTTTAAAGTATAAGCTGTAAGTAGACAAAAATTTGCAAAAGCTTTGAAGTCGCTATGCAGGATCAACTGACAAGAGACACAGTAATATAGTGAAGTTGATTTCCTGTTACTTTTAATTCCAACGAACATTTAGTGATCTATATATATATATATATATATATATATATATATTACTACAGTTTTACTACTTAATATATCGTTCATTTAACAGAATGGTGAACATTGTGTTTCCTACATTTTTCACTGATCTGTTTATCTAGAGCCAAAATGTAAGCGTGTACAGTATGTTGGTGGCTCTTAAGATAAAAAATTCTTTATAATACGGAAATTCATATGTGGGATACTGAGTAGATGCATAAAGTTTTTGTTTTAACGCGTGACAGTAATTGTGTACATTCTTGTCAATTTAATCAACGAAGTGTCGTTTGCTACCTTAGTACAGATGTTTGTTCCAAGATTGTGACTTGGTATCGATATCAATTCACAATCGAAAACCATTAGATATTACAGCTATGATTGTTTCACTGAGCCATTGTCACAGTTCTAAGTTCAAATTTTCTGACTTGTATGATTTAAACTATCCAATCTGTCATTTACTAAACAAATATGTAAGACATACAAATATAAACATGTGAGATCTCGGTCCTATGAATCATGAATAGTAACTGTAGAACATTTATTTTTAGACGAATCATTTACAAGAGCCAAAGTTACCCATTACAATTTACATTTACTGATGGTATATATGTAAATAATTAATATAGGATTCCTCACTACCTAATCAGTGAATATTTTAGAAATATCTAGACTTTTATGCTATCTAGTTTAAATCAGTGATTCTTAGTCATTTATGATCTATGACTCGTGGGGTCTCAGGAACCACGATATCAGTTTCTTAGTGTAATGTTAAAAATTGCATAGGCAAATCAAATTCGGTATTTATTCACTGAATACCTGTGGATTATGTAGGATCGATATAATTATAGATTACACGTTAAAATCGAGGTGCTCAGAATTCTCTCAGTGAATTATTAGCGAACAGCATTCTTTAGTTTGAGGATACCATGTCAACCGTAAATACTTATTTCCTTATACTTATATGTGGGTTTTGGGCACAAGTTCATTCGGACGGTGATTTATCAAAAAAGTACGATTTGTCATAATTTAGTTAAATTATTCTTGGGAATTACTTTTGATACAAACTGAAAGATATTTCATTGGTAAATAAACTGGTTTACATTTAGAAAAATATGGATGCTATCACTTACCAATTTTATCATTTATTTACTACATTTATTTAGCCCACTTAAATAACCTGTTTACGGGAATAGTAGATGTTCTGTTTCAACACCAACTACTGAAATGTTGATCGATTTAAAATTTCTCATGCAAACTATTAGTTATGATTAGTAAGGAAACCATCTGCTCAATAGTTTGTTATAAACAACTGAACTATCCTCGTTTCTGTTCTTTGAGTTGTTTTCTCTCCAAAATATCCACTCAGTATTCTTGGTTCCAAAGAACCTTTAATATCTGCTCTACGACCACGACTTTGCCTACTCTCTAAGCAACGGGAAAAGATATCTTTGAAATCTAGTCGGTAAGCCATTGCCAGAGTAAGGACTGACTCACCCCACGTTTCCAAGTTACATAAACGGAGAGATGACTAACTATAGGGAACGTGCTTAAGAATAATGACAATTTGAGCGAAATAATATTAACACGAGATAAAAAATGAACCCATATGTGCCACTTCAACCACTAATTACGATTGTCAGGCGCATTCCAGCCACGTATTTTGTACCTACTCACATAGTTCGGACCAACACTCAATGACTTTGTAGGCTGATGACATGTATTGCTTTGATCGCTCCTACGCCAGACACCATCGCGTGTCGAGGTAGTCATTGATTTGGCATATGTTACACATATTCTAGTCACCTCAGTTAAAGAATATTCACAGACTTATCAGCTGACTTGCCATATTTACTTAGTGAGTTGTTTTACCACACACGAAGACCTCTATGATCGAATATTAGTAGTGTAGAAATGTATTGTACTCTTGAAAGCCATACTTCATAATCATAGAGTAAAACCCAGCAAACTCCTACATAGTATACTCGCCCCTTAACAAGTAGATAGGCATCTCTCCTACCCCATAGGTGCAAAAGCCAATCTAAATTTTGGAATCCGCCACGAGATCTACACAGTCATTAATCCATAAGAAATGATGAGGCAAGTAAAGTGGTCGAAGCGCTTGCTTACTCTTCTCCCGATGGTCACACTGGGGTTAGATGCATAGCAGTCCTGAAACAGCTTGCAATAAGAAGTGACCCGTCCCAAGCATTCTTGTATTGTTACTCAAATTGTTCAGAACACCATATATTGTCAGCATCTTCAGCAGACAGAACTACATTAACTGGACACTAAAGTAATTAATGAGTCAAATCTCATTTGATATGTGTGAGGGCTGTGATATTGCCCGGGTGCCCAAACCGAAGCAGGTAGTTTTCTTGGGGGACCACACCCGGAGCCTTCGACCTGAAGGTCTGATCCACAAGGCAGTGGAGCAACGTAAGGAGATGCAGTCTCATGGTAGCCGATGACCAACGATTTGTTCATATACCATTTGTTCCTTCAGGATAGTGGAGCCCATGTGCACCATTGATTTTGAATCAGAGTTTTCCAACTCCCCTAGGTGGACTCTCCCTTTCCACCAACCCGGTTAAAGCGCCAAACATTCGCTTTTTGTCCTCTCAATTTCGTAAACAACACACCCGCCACGAGAAGGCAATGAGTCGGACTTCCCTAACAGAGGCTATATACGCGTGGCCATGTGCGAACATTTCGAGAGGGAGAGTGGACTCTCCTAACTCTCGGCCATACCAAGGCATTTGGAGTCTGTAAGATTTACACTTTTTCCAGGACCTTGATCAATAAATTAGAATAGACCCTAGTGACAACTCTGTTGTCAGTTATATCCATAACCAACCAATCAATTTTTTGCTTAAATGCCTATCTGGCGTTATGTGTCTGTAGACTATCCCTGTTGTATGTGACCTGTCAAATGAAGGAAATTATTATCCTATTAAATTATTGACTCATGATTTTTATTCATTTCGATAAGACACGCCATACTGGTCGGTATGTTTAGGCGTTTTACTTAATACCTATAATTTGTTTAATTATTAAACTAATCGGATTATTTTTACATTTAGAAACATAACGTTGTCCTTGTTCTGACTATAGCTTTCACATAGACTCTGGGGTCGCCAGTATCGCGTCTACAGTTCTAGTAGAATATCTGTAGGACAAATTAAATCCTACATCTATTATCCTTAAAATTTAAATACGGCTTCGAACAGAATGAGAACGTTTTTATTTCTACTTGGACTTCGTCATTTCTTGCTTTTTATAATCTCTTTTACCGATTAGCAATATCGTTTTTCGTCTAAAGCAGTTCATTTTTTGGTGACTTATTATATCAAAAACGTTGTTCTAGAACCAATTTAATGTAACTGGACGAAACAACGCTCAATGTAGTTGAATAAGTCAAAGTCAGATATGATACCACTATATTCTAAAAGAAATCTGCTTGATAGCAGGAAAGCATAAACCGATAGTAATTCAAGAATGAACAATTCAATGACATTTAAGTAACTTCTGTCACTGATGGGGGCATTTAGAGTAATACTCTAAAAAAATGTTTGCTACACTACCGATCTTTATGTTCTTACAACTTAAATGATTGTGAACAATGATAGTACAATATGAACACTATGAAAACTGGTAAGCATAAGTCCCTAATGACTATTAAAACAGCATAAATTTATAACTGATGAGTATATTATCTTTTGATAATCATTATTTGGACCACACAGTTTCATTTTGATAATGGTCTATTATTCGGGATTGCTTGGATTTGTTATCAGTTGTGTTTGAACTGTTCATTTTAATTGCCCGTATGGTCAGTACTTCGATCTCCAGAAAGTTCGAATTCAGTGATCCATAAGATGGATACTTCAAATTACTTGAATAATGATATTAGTGAATCAGTACTTGACTACACTCAGTATGTCATATCGGTTAACTATGACAAAGATTGTTTTATTTATACCTTTACTATTTACATTTATCAAGACTGTGATTTTTTATATTTATTTCAAGCTATGGTTTGTAATACCTACCTACTTTATGTTTCTTAGTGTTTCCCCTCCGCAACATTTCTAGCCAATTAACACCTATTTTTATTAATAACACGAAACAGTTAGCATATTTGAAGGACATAACTACTGCGACAACTACACATGCTTTGCTGAGATTAAAACCATTCAGGAAGGAAAATGCAGAGTAAATGAACTTATCATTATAACCATTTGTATATCTGAGACTATTTAGTCTCAGCATCAATTATTGAAGTACTTAAGTCTAGTCGCTCCACCAACTACAAATCAGTAATGCATAAAGAAGCGGATGACTGAATTATTGCTTGAGCAGAAGTTGTGTGAATCTGCTGAAAACTGGCAGACCATGTCAAAGCCACAGAAAAGTGCACTAGTTGCATTTTAGAATACTCAAATTTATAATCATTGGGGATCCTATTTGCCAAAATACAGCGTATGAGAAAGAAAATCTACCTTGATTTCGTAAGTAAAATTAAGGCGATCTTTAGTCAACACCGTTAAGTCATATCAAATTATTCGTACGAAATTCTGTTTATCAGATTTAAGATGTAGTTACTTATTTGATTTTAAATACATTTCCTTGTACAGATTACTTAACTGGTTTTGTATTCAGTGATAACTACTCAGTTAATGGTAATTGAATAATCAGTAAATTAATAAATCACTGGATTCACTTTGATACGAATCAATCTTTGGTTTTTCCTAATAAGTTTTTGCGAACAAGATTCATCATTTGGTGTATCTGGGCCTAAAATAGAGTCGTTATGTACGGTATCGAGGTTGTCGTTAGGGTTATCACTATTATCTTGCTTCATAACGAGTATCAAGAAATGATTTAGAATACTAGAAAATCAGGTGAATTTATAAACTATGAACGACCTATGAGCGACGCTAAAGTGACCTTGACGACGTCCACCTAAATGAGGGTTACAAAACAGTGTGAAGAACTAAAATTACGATCCAGAGTTGATGGTTAGGGCTAGTTATTACATTTATGGCTTTCATCACGAACTGACATCAGCTAAAATACAGAACGCTACCTAGCCATATGTATGAATGAATTTCGCGCCAAAACCCAAGACTCGTCATCTTATATCTGATTGATTCATCCATAAATTATATTCTCGCCAAAAATTGTTATCACTAGACAGAACATTAATAAGTATAAATGAAAGCTGTCTACGATTTAAAGACAAAGCACTAACATAGTTGTGTTATTGTAACTTGTTCCAACCTAAATTATCAACGACGGTGAGACTAACTTATAGACGACTTTTGGGCGATGCTAAAATGAACTTGGGAATGTTCGGCTACATACTAGGGCTAAATGATGGTTATAAAGCAGTGAAGAATAAGGATTATGATGTACAATTGATAGTTATGATTAAGGATTAGATTTAGGGTTTTCATCACGAACTGAGATCCACTAAAATGCAAAATCGCTATCGAGACAAATGAGCGAATGAAGTGTGCACCGAAATTCGAGACCTGTTATCCTAAATCTGAGTGGTTCGTCCATAATTTACAGTCTCGATACAACAGAAAATGATTAATTATTAAAAAATTCATCATAAGATGGACGGCTTACCCACGGGCTTTCGATATTATTTGGCGAATATTGTTCGACTTTATATCTAAAACACTTGGATTTCGGTCACCTCCCCAGTCGGTCAAAACCAAAGCCTGAGACAGATCTAAAAAAAAGAAGCCTATCAAAAACTTGCTTCAAAAGACGCCATACCACTGAGAATTCATACATATTAATGGTATCAAGGGTTGCATTGGTACTCTTTTTGTGATAGTCAAGAAAAATAAGTTTCACAGACAACCCGTCTGCGTTGAGCCAGATATTCACATTGTTTTATACATTATTTTCTACATTATATCTCAACCATTGTTGGATGTCTTTGTCAGATAAGATACATTGGCATGATTTTCCGTGATCTTTTCGCGATCAAATATATAAACACTTGTCATTCCACCATATTCCATGTGAACACAATAAGATCTGAAAGGTAGATATAATTTATATCTTGATGTATTCAAGATTTAAAGTGGTTCTAGTCCTTTATTAAGCTTTCTTGAGTCTAAAGATCTCCCACTGACTCATACTGAATTACGAGGGTGCCTGTATATATCGAGTGATAAATTTACTATCTGACAATGAAGGATCATATCGAGTCACTTGACAACTACATTAGTACTCATTCAATACAGATACTTGCTGTTACTGACAACTTCCAGTGAAACATACTCTTACCCTGAAGTTTTGATGTATGGATTTGTTTGTCATTCAGAAATGCTCCTTGATTACGAATTCCATGAAATAGCCATTTCAATATCGGATTATAAACAACAGCTAGCTCGGGCTGTGAATCTGAAAAAGCATGTACATTAACTAACCTCTTTGTTAACATAGTAAGCAATTGATACACAAACAAAAGGAAACCTGGGAATTACTTGAAAGTGATATTACCTGCTAACAAAATTTGAGGTTCCATCAATTGGGTCGATTATCCATGTAGGCGAACAAGTAAGCTCAGCGTTTCCAGAATACCCTTCCTCTGCAATAATTCTAAATATAAGACGGAATGAAATAAACACTTTTACTTGTGAGTAGGGAACGATGCAAGGATTTCCTGACAGATGTAATTCTCCACAGCTTTATCCACTTCAGTTACCAAGTCAGCATATGATTCTTTCTTGTCATACGGGATACTTTTTGAGAAGCCAGCTTCAATCATCTTTTTTTGAGAAATAAGGATAAGAGTAGCGTACCTTCCCGGCCTTCACGGCTAGATTACTAACGAACAAGATGTCAGCCATGACTTTGTAATTATGGAAAATTTTGAAGGTTGCATGTTAGTGAAACTACTGATTTCAAACACTAATCACTAGATATCCACAATGAAACTGTAGGTAGTTTTAAAAAAAAAATTTGTGTTTCGGATGATAATTTACAGTTGATTTAGATAAAGTAAATCACCTGGTTCTTTTCAAAAACATGATAATGAGAACCTTGACGAAACTCTGTAATTTAACTTAATCAAATGTATCCAATATTCTTTTGACGATCTTGCATTAGCCGACTTATTGACGTTTGTCTTTTGTTGTTTCGGCATTGATTCGCTTCTTTTACGATGTCTAATAGGCGACGATTAGCCAATTTACTTCACCAATCCTATTTGGCTTAGTAGTTATTTATAGGTTTGTATATCTTGTAATCTGAGTGATTGCATTTGTGTTAGAGCAATAAATTTTTTTAAAAAGTAGCTATCACCCGACAGAAAGTTGACGAGTTGGCCTTAATGTAAAGCATTTCAAAGCAAGAATTAGAGTGCCAAGAGAAGACTATTGTTTCAAGAGATAAATTAATAAACAAGTCAATTGATTAGTGGTGTAGTGTGAGTAGATAATAATTTAAGCTTAAAAATGAAAGCGCATATGATAGAAACTGATGTAAGAATGACAATGACATTCTTAAAACAAGACTAGACGAAGCAGCAAATGGTGATCAATGATAAAGTAAGTGTTAGTCAGGTTTCCTCTTGAAGCTAGCTGTCAACAGAACTTGCCGTGTGCACCTTGGCTGGGAGACCATTCTAAATGAGGGCTACCCTTTATGAGGAAAAGTGGAGGCATACCTGAATTTTTCCTCTTTCATCTGCAATTTTCTTAGGGTGCCTCTAGGAAAATGTTCAGATGACTTGACGTACTTAGTATGTCGTGGATTATTATCAGATCACTTCTATTGTGAGAATAACTTCAATTTTCGAAGCGTATCATCATAAGACTTGTTCCTTAGTTGTATCATACACTCAGTCACTCTTCTCTGTATTTCCAAAATGTTGTGGACTGCAGCGTTAGATCATGAGTATACTTTAAAGTGTCATAAACAATTCTGTGGTGATTACGTCAAGTTATCTTTGCATGAGGAAGTTGCATTTGCTTTACTGCTTCCTCATAATTGTTTGAGCAAGTATTTAATTTCTCTGTGATTACTAGCAATTCATCTTGCTCTGAGGAGACAGTCAGGAATGGATTTAAGTAGATTTAAGTTGTTTGTGTCCCACGGACTTAATGTCATGACATTTTGAAAGGTTAGCTTGTGACTCACTGTCTACTTCCTGTTCCTCTACTGAACAGTCCTTTCGGAGCTCAGAAGAATATTCCTTTTTTTATGGACTTCAATATCATCGATCCGCCATCATAGATTACTACATCTGAACTAATATCACCTAGAAGGTTATTGGAAAATATTCAGAAGTTGGTCCCCTGTGGAACTTCTGGTGTTTAACCCTCCGGCACCTGCGAAATCTATTTAACTTAGTGCGGAGCATCCTGACTTCTAGGTGGTCTTGGAGCCATGATATGAGTGAGTCAGTAAAACTCACAGTTTTATCTTCGCCACAGGAATTGTGCACAATACCACTTGAAACACTTTCGCGAATTCGAGGGATACAACATTGACCTGTTATTTTAGGCTTTGACAGGCTTCCAACTGTTCCTTGAAAACATGTAAGACTTTTTTGTTCCAAACACGAGCTGTGCATTATGAAGGAAGTTACTTTCTCACGTATTCATTTCCGTTTCTCGTTATAGTATTGACAGTCATGCCTCTGGTCTATAGCAGACTGTGTCTTACCGATCATTCTGTGCCTCGTTTAGGCCAAGGTTTTTTTCGCATGGGTTTATTTTGCTTGAGATACGTTTCGCAGATTAGCTTCCTGAATAATGTGCCTCAATTTATCCCAGTAGTCGCCCATTGTTAGCATCCAACACTCTCATGGCCATAAGGCGTGTTAAAGATTTGCTCTCATCATTGTAAATAATTAATATGTATTCGGAGCTTGACAACATCTTTACACTTAACACCTTTATAATGGAAGTATAACAAACCGGTTAAATCAGAAGTCGAGAATGAATGAATGCAAAGATATGTAGTGACATTGAACCATAATCACACAATCTTCAAAGTTGGACACGAAACTACTCGGAAAATAGACATTCAATATTTAACGCGGAGAAATAACTGACGATGGAGAAGGCGGGAACAAGGAATTGAATTAATTGGAGTTGATTTGATGGCATGGCTCGGCCATGAAGGCGTAGTACCTGCTAAATGTTACCTTATATCTTTAATTCATATTAAATATATTGTTCTTCCTCTAGCCTAAGCTTGTTCTACATCATGTATTGGTGATTGTTACGATACGATGAGTTGGTGTAGACGATGGTATGACTTCTACGTAAGATCTCATAGATGAGGCAGTTATATCATGACAAGTCTACAATTATAGGATTAGGTCTATTATTAGCGCAGTACTAATATCATAGTAGACCATAATTCTACAGATATACCGATATGTCGAGAAGCTTTTGATAATAATAATAATATATTTCTGCATGAGCAGGTACACACCATTTTTACAGGCATGATCTATAAATTACAACTTTTTTGGTTCACAAAATGTTTCCCAACTTATTAAGTTTATAGTTGTTATAAAGTGAAATCGTAGAGCGCTTGCTGTAAACCATGACGTTGAGGAGATATGTACGTCAAGATTTTTCCAAACGTCAGAAGTTTCATAGCTGTGCTCTCAGAGAAATATTCTGAAGAAAGAAAAAAATGTAAGAGAAGAGCAACTAAACGTTGCTTAACATTTTGTAGCAGAACAGACAGAGGTATAATAAATTAGAATAAATTCATATTATCTCTTGTTAGAGGGAAATGAAGTCAGAGGCTCTTTTTACGAGAATGTAGTAATAAAGAACAATGTGTTGTCATGTTTAGCAAGTTGGAGTAAGCTCACATGAAGGAAGGGAATTCAAATTTGTTACAAGGAAAGGAGTGTGCATATGGAGGGTGAAGTGTTAAGAATACTAATAACTACATCTTTTTATTGTCCAATTTTTTTCTCTTTTTCTGTCCATCCGATGCCAGCCACTCAATCCTAGTGTAAAAGTCCGAGTTAGCATGCTATAGTTTGTCTTAGTAGAAAGCTAATCCAGCATAATATTGGAAACATGAGTCTGAGTAGTCAGCGTAGGAAAACAATCTATATCACAGATTGATTGACTTATTCTCAGTCATGAGGAGCCTGATACATACAAAATGTTCTGTCCCCACCAACACGGGTGGATTGAAGTCATCGCCCTCACCATCAATGCTTGCTGGTCAGTAACTCCACCCTCCCTCCTTTTGTGATGTTAGGCTCATTTAGCATTATTTTTGTATATACGTCATACCTCGCACAATCCTCTGTTTCACAAACTGTTGGAAAGTACTATTTCTATAACTACCATTTTACAAGCTTATCAGGCAGTTACAAGCTATGGAGTGTGGGTAAAGCATCGATACAGTGCCTCTGTTGACTATAGTATAAAGTATAGTTTGCCAATCAGAGAATAAGCGTTAAGAAGGCTATATTGTAGGATAGTTGTTTACTTAAGCAGGCGGAAAAAGTATGGAAGTATATGAGTTGTGGATAAGGGAACGAGTGGAGAAATAATATTAATTGCTTGTCAACATAGTGTACAGAAGAGTAAAAAGTTAATACAGGATAAACAGGAAGGAACTCACAGTAACTTGGTGCTGATGTTATTTTCTGTTGTTCTCACCAGTTGATTGGTAACAGGCTCCATAGATGCAAGATCACTGGCTTTAGGCAGCCGATTGTGCGGTCCTCTTGACGTTTTAGGGTGGTAGAGAGTGTCCTTTATCGACCGAGTTTATTTTAACAGTAATGATACGTCCATTGAGTTACCTGTCTACTTCAAGTGAAGAAATAGGGTGGAAAAAGTAATTAATACAACTGCAAAGTAAGAAAAATAAGGCAAACTGAACTTGAAGTACATTTTGGTCTAGACTTGAAGAGAGCCTATAATGTCTGAGTGGGGCGCAGGTGTGTTCGTAAGTGCTAGATCAGTGCAAGTGAGGGTTTGATCAAGCGGCTTTACAAAAGTACGTAACTCATCTGCCATGCGTATTTTGGAGGGGAGACTATTCCATATTAATGCACACTTGATGAGGAAGTTTCCCCGAGTTTTCGGTCTGTATTTTTTAACGTTGACGGTAGGTACTTTGTTCAGAAGTTCGTATTCATGTGAATCTTGGGCAAGAACTATATTACGCGTTGAATAAGTAAGGTTTTTGAGTAGTTTGAAGTAGAGAATCAAATTAGACCTAAGCCTTCTCTCCCAAAGGGGTGCTATTCCTAAGATTTGGCGTCGGGAACTTATAATGTTTGAAAGTTTTTGGATTATAGTATAAACTAAGAATCCCAGAAATAACGTTATCGGATCAAAAAGTACTAGGTAAGCACGAACGTATGTACTGTATTCGGAATTCGAAATCAAGCATTCAACAAGTACAATGGTATAATTAGTTCATTCAAACACCACATCCGCCACATTTTAAATCGGAGTTTAAGTGTCTGTTATCGATTGTACGTCTTCTTCTTAAGTTTATCCTGTGTCTATCCGACATTGTATTGGATTAAACCTCTATTATCTAGAATACACTCATTAGTATTGGAATTAACTACCGAAATCGGAACACACTCACCTGCTTCCTGGGATTGTGTAATCAGCATGTCGGTTGTGTACTGAAACCGATTCTAACTAGAATTTGAACCACACACTTTTAGACCATCCTCCCCCACGAAATAATGTTGGATCTTTACATCCCCAATTTATAAATGATGTGGCTTCATTTAAAACATATTTTTCACATTGGTTAAAGTAAACATTAGAAGTGTTTTTATGATAAGGATAAACAGCAGTTGATATGAAATCATCCAAATTGTGATTAGAAGTCAAGCTCATTTAGTACTTGTGCTTCGGGTTGAACATGTTTCCCACAAGAAACAAATGCATTATGAGGACAAATAATATTTGATAGAACATCACGGTTTGATTCTTCTGAAATAGTTTCCTCAAATTCCTTAAGAATGTCAT